GTAGGAACCCCGTAACGTGGACTGGAAAATCCTCAAGCCATGTGGCCTTTGGGGCATTAGAAGGGAACCTACTGAAAACAGTGGATCTCCAGGTTGAGGGATGGAATTCATCCACCATTTTGTATTCCGGTGCTGTGGCTTTCTCAAAATGAGAATGTGTTTTGACTTGTTGGTATGACAGGTTAAGTTGCATACTTGACCAGGAACGCTGGTTTTACAACCAGCTGAAAAGGACTTCTTGTCTTCAGCTACCAATGAGGAGTTGTCCATCCCACTAGGTAGACCAGACTACACAATCAACTTCAGAGAAAGGTTAAGATTCATTTTATTGGGATTGGCCATAACAACAGATTCTTGAAATTCTGATTGTCTTGGATCTCCTTCTTCTTATATCCCAGTGAATTAGTTAGACATCTCCCTAAGTCACTTCCAAAGCTTATCTCTTTGTCCTAGATTTAAAAAAATGCTTCAGTTTCTTTTGCCTAGGGAATGATTCCTGCATATCTGCCATCCTCCTTAGCTCCACAGTGCTTCCTCAGGTGCTTTTCTAGGTATCTTGTACCCAAAACATAACAATGAGCTAGCCAGTTTGGTGCAGTGCTTAAGGCACTGTAGAAAGTTAGTACCCACCCACCTCCTAGAAGAATGAAATATTTTAAGGAATATTTTAAAAAGGCAGGATAAATAGTTTCCCTAAAACAGAAATAAAAAATCTTAAGGGAGACAGAAATTCAGAGCCCCAGCTCCCTGCCTCCAGCAGATATTTTGTGCCCATTAAGAAAGACTGGGCCAGCCTATTTACAAAACAAAAGATCTTCGGCTCCAGGGTGAAGGAATTAAGATATAACCCTTCAGGACATAATAGGATTAACCCACTACAGAGCACAATCTCACTATACTGCACAATCTCCTAAGGCCATTGCAGCACCCTTAGAAACTTCCATTAAACGTAGCTCAGACAAACACCTAGGGTTTGTACATGGCCCCATGGGAGTCTGACAACAGCCAATAGAATACATGTTCTTGCACAGGAACAGGAAGCTCAAGTGCAAAGCCCATGAGAAGGTATAAAAACCTCTTACTCTCAACTCCATGTGGTGAACTGCACCAGAACCATGTGCTTGGTGGTTCTGCTTCATCATTAAACCATCTTTCCAATCAACCTCCATGTTTCCAGTGTCTTTCTCCTGGCTTGGAGCTGAACCATATGGATGTTTCTTCCCACAACACCAGTCTAGAAACCAGGAAACATGAGTTCTAGTCCCACTCTCTAGTCCTAAAGTCAGCTGGGTGACCTCAGGCTAATCACTCCATCTGAGCCCTAGAAAGGAGGCAATGGTAGACCATTTCTGAAAACCATTACCAAGAAAACTAGAAGGACTTGTCCAAGCAGTCCCCAAGAATCAGGCATGATTGAACAGAAGGGGGGAAAATAGCCATAGTACATATTAAGAATACTGGGAAAGTTAATGGAGCTTGGCTTAGGACAACACAGGTCCATTGAAGAGAAGCAGAAACTTCTCAGAGTAAAACATTTACAAAATGGTTATGAAAATCAAATAAGCAAGCTGCTAGTACTGCAAACAAGGAATTAGGGTAAATGAAAACTGGAAAAGAAATAAAAAAGACAACTGGAAAGAAGGGGTGAAATAAGAAAATTCATTAGAGATAGTCCTTGATTTACAATGGATCCCTTAGCAATTGAAGTTACAAGTGACCCAAAATTACCAAGCCACGGTGGCGCAGTGGTTAGAATGCAGTACTGCAGGTTACTTCTTCTAACTGCCAGCTGCCTGCAATTTGGCAGTTCAAATCTCACCCGGCTCAAGGTTGATGTTCTTTCCCCAACCCCACGCACACACATCAACAGACGTTCAGGAGTTAAAGACCAAACCAGCCGGCAAAATCCTTTTCCTTATGATAACGGAACTTGACAACAACCTAGTGGTTGCCTGCCAAGAGTTTATTATTTACAAAGAGGAGAGATAACTTCTCCCCACTTCTGATACATCAAAGGAAAGCAGCTCAGTAATTACAATCAAGTCCAGAGATAATCCAGTCTTAAAGCAAAAGTCCGGCAATGCAGAATGGCGTGGAAGCTTTCAGCTTTGTTCGTCACAAGGTTTGACTGGCCACCACGCTCCCTTTTATATCCTGTGGGGTGTGGTCCAGTGACTCAGCCTAATCTCGGGCACACCCTTTCTTCTGTTGCGTGTGCTTATCTCTGCGACGCTGGCGTGGGTCCAGCCAAGACTCATTACCCTTATCATTGTCCATCTGTGGCTGTGTGGACATGCTTGGCCCTGGCCCTATCTCTTCGGCGGACACCGAAGGCATTGCCAGAGAGGAGGGTCCTGGAGAGGGAGGCCTTGCCAACTCCTCCCCTTCACTCTCAGAGTCCTCTCCTGACGATGACACAGGCTCCGGTAACGGAGCCACAACAGTTGACTCCATCTTTCCATCCTTCCGAGGTGGGTAAAATGAGGACCCAGATTGTTGGGGGCAATAGGCTGACTCTGTAAACTGCTTAGAAAAGGCTGTAAAGCACTGTAAAGCAGTATATAAGTCTAAGTGCTGCTGCTATTGCTATTACAACCCGAATTTGAATTTCCAATGGTTGGTGCCCCTTTGTAGTCACTAACTTTGGGAGCTAACTTTGGATGATTGGCAACATGACTGCATTTATGAATGTTGCAGCATCCCACACTAAACATGACCAAAATGCCAAAACCCGCACTTTCAGTTTTGGCAATATTGCATCCATAGCAAGTCATTGGTTTGCTTAATGAGCAAGGAATTTGCTGAACAACTGGGCATTCATTTAGAACCCTAGCATTCAACTAACAACTGCTGCATAAAAAGGTCATAAAATTAGGTTGGTCACATGACTAATCAATTTTGCAACTGTTATGACATACGGTCGTAATGGGCAGGTTACATTGCAGTCATATGTTGAGAACTATTTGTATGTGCAGAATGGGAATATGGTCTGTAGACACCAAAAGCTATAGAATTCACGGGATTTAAGGATCCGTTTGAAGACGTGATAGAAATATGGCAACTGGAAATTCTGTGGTGCAATTCCATGCTTAGTGAATATTCAGATTCGGGGGATATTTGAAAATACAGTTTCCACAGCTTTCTTCTTTGTCTCTGCTTACACAGCTTATTTTTTTTTTTTCCTCTTTCCTTTCCTTCACCTACTCTTCATTTCATTCTCACGCTATGTGTGTGTATTTAAATCTCCTGATCTGCAGTTTGATGATTGCTGGAAAAGTCTCTCATTAATATATATTTTAAAAATATGTTATTGTTTTATTCTGCATACTATTGGTTTTGTAAGAGTAGGATGTCTTTATTTGGGAAAAAAATGAAAATTGGAATGATGGAAATTGCACGTGATTCTCTGTAAACAGAAATGAACACATTGGAGAAGGGGAGATGGTCAGAGAGATAAGGAATCATTCCCAAAAATACCTAGAGTAGTGGCCAAAAATTGTGGAAACCTTTTTGGGGAAATTTTCTAAAACTAGCTAATAACACCACTTTTTTTTTTAGTAGTACCATAAAATTATATATCAATGGAAAGATAATTTAATCAAGAATGTAATGCAATAATTTTATGAAGGATTTGCTATTAGAATAGCAGTTACAGCATAAAGAAGAAACATGAAACAGGTAGAAAAAACGAGTTATACAAAAATTATCACCATGTCAGTTAATCCTTCGTTGGGTAACCTTTAGCATGAATTACGGCCTTACAACGTCTTCCCATGGAGTGAACCAAGCCTTTTAGTTCTGCAGCTGTTCTAATGTGAAACTAAGATTGAATGATGGCTTCTATTAACTGGGTTTTATTGCTGGGTTGCTTCTGACTAACAAGTTTCTTTAGTCGGCTCCATAGATTTTCAATTGGGTTAAAATCTGGGCTATTGCCAGGCCATTCCAGCAGTGGAATAGGATTATCTTGAAACTCCCCCCAAAAGTGGTGTTATTAGCTGTCAAAACTCAAAAATACACTTTTCCCAAAAGGTTTCCACAATTTTGGCCACTACTGTATATATTCTCTATTATGCCAGATTTATAAATTCCTCTTCTGTTCCCCTTCTCAAGGTCAAACAGTAATAATTGCAAGCAATAATGATAATTCTTGCCCACCTAACAGTCACACACATGGTTATTCGTTGTTTTTGTAGGAAATGAAGTAAAATGGGTTTCCCCCTCCCCCGCTGAAATCTTGTCTCAGTGATCCAGCGGTGGATTTCAGATATTGTTACCACTGGTTCGCTGCATGTGCGCTCTCTTCGCATGTACTCGCACCTTCTGTGCATGCTCCTGGCCTTCTGCGTATGCACTTTGCTCGCTCGTGCGCCTTTTACGCATGGGCCCAGCCTCGAAAACATGCCTAAATAGGATGACATAGTGCCGGGGCAGTTCCGCTACCAGTTCGGGTGAACTGGTATGAACCTGCTGAATACCACCTTTGAAGTGATCTAGTGATCACATTCCAAGTGAAACAAGGTGGCCATCCAGAGATCACCTTGGAAGAATCAAGAGATGTTGGCTGGTTTCCTTGATCCTTGTATTATCAACTTGATCTGCCTTCCTTTGGATTATTCACATCTTTTAACGTTTCATCAGAATAGTCACCAGTGGTGGGGAAATGATCTTAAGGCTAACTCAGCCTTTTAAGAGTCTGTGTAATTCTCGGTGTATATGAGCCGAGGTGGCGCAGTGGTTAGAGTGCAGTACTGCAGCTACTTTGGCTGACTGCTAGTTCAGCAGATCAGCAGATCAAATCTCACCAGGCTCAAGGTTGACTCAGCCTTCCATCCTTCCGAGGTGGGTAAAATGAGGACCCCGATTGTTGGGGGTAATATGATATTTAGTATACTGTCTTTGGTGTAAGCCGCCCAGAGTCCTCAGAGTGTGGGCGGCATAGAAATATGAAAAACAAACAAACAAACAAACAAACAAACAAACAAACAAACTGCAATTTC